CGCAATTTTCCCAATTGGAGAAATGCTAGCCACTGACTGTATCACATCGAGAAGTACCGGTGCATCGAGCGACACAGATGATCGCTGATTATTTTCAGAAGATACCGGTGACGAAGAACTCGAGGAGCACGCGGAATAAAGACTTCCATCATCTTTGATACTCAACATCATCGCAATATCTGGAAGGAATAAAAAAAGTACAAAATCAGTGTACACTTTAGCGTAACAACTATGTAATAAGGCCGATTATCGCAATGCAATGAACTTCAAAATAAACTCACAAATATCTTAAAGTACTCAGGAATATTAAGATACGTAAACAAAAATCCATACTTATTTATCAAACGCAAGGCAATACTCTCTTCTTCTTACTTCAAAAGTGAACACCGTTTGTACATTACTTTACTGAACAATTATTTCAGTGAGACCCAAAACTGGCAGCAATGTCAAAAAGATATTTGTGGTAATAAAAACAAAAAAATTTGAAAGTTCAGTGAAACTTCGAAATAAATGAAAATTTTTAAAATCCAAACATCCCATACGCTATTTCTTTCCTCCTTTTCAGATTAAAGAATTTGATAAAAACACTTGTTACGACCCTGTAAAATAATTGACGGAATCTATTAGCAAAACCGTCAGGTTTTTGCTGGACGCAGCAATCAATGCATATAACTATTGCAATATCAAAATAAATCGGACAACCCCGCAATCCAGTTATCCTGCCAGACGAATGTCCACTTAGAAACCACAATGCACTGGCCCTAAGCCAACAACACTATCACATTCATGTCGCTTCCGAACACGCAGCACTTCCAGCACTCCTACCTACGCCGGTTGGCAATCCGGAGACCCATCCTGACACTTGCTTCCACTGTACGGCATTTTCTACAACTCTTTAAAAGCAAAAAATGTGATGAGCGAACGATACACATGGCTAGTCTGGTCGAATGCATCAGTCTCAGCGCCGTACAATAATGGTCCCTAAAGTCAGTCGAACACCTATTGAGACCGACTGATTGTATGCAACAATGGCAGTGCTCAGAAGCAGTAAGAGCGGTATGATTGGATTCGACTATCGAGACAGCCAACAGACAAAGTAAACAGCCCAGGTTGTTAGAAGCAGCATCGAAAATTAAAATGAAGTCTCGACACAGAGTCAACAACCGCATCAATCAACGAACTCATAGTCACTTTAACGACTACGAGCACCGACGGGAGTGGCAACAACACAAATATCAAACTCCCTTACTGCAATAAGTAAACAAAACAAAACAAAGTGAAGTGCAAACATTTATGGCAACAAAGGAATGGGACATCCCAGCAGTACCTGTCAATCGCTTTAATGATTAGAATATATACCAAACATT